ACGCGCGTGCTGGAAATCCCTAGCCGAGGAACAGCATCAGAAGTAGGGGTGAAACAATTATACCAAATACTCCAGTACTCGCTCGGTTTTTTCAAAAATAATCATACTCGGAATAAATCAGACTACTTGTTCATACATGGTGCGTGTATTTTATCACGCGAAGTCTGCAATTTCAGAGCAGCCGTGGGCAGATATTGATGTGCAGACTGTGTGGTGAACATTTGTTCACGAGTAGAGAGAGCCCAAACGACCCACCAACCAATATACCCCAGAAAAAAATGACTGCTACTCGTTTCAATCAGGGTTGTATCATGTGATTTTAAGGCCCTTGGTGTGCAATTTTTAGGAGATGAAAATACTCGAATACTCGAATATTCGATCGGAGAAAATCAGAGTACTCGAACTCGGGATCTCAGTGCCACCTTTCACCCCTAATCAGAAGCATGTGTTGCACAATAATATCATAATATAGCTATGAATAGGATGAAGGCCGCAGACATCACGCAACTACGTTACTTGTTTGACATGTGACTGTGTATTTTTATTAAAAAAATTATTGAAAACCCAGAATCCCAGAAGTAACGTAGTTGCGTGATGTCTGCGGCCTTCATCCTATTCATAGCTATAATTAAAAATATTATCTCCACGTAGATTCAAAGGATCAGTCGGGGAAGTGAACTGCCTGAAAAGAGAAAAAAAGTGAATTTGAAGTTCTCCCAATCCTTTCCACGTAGATTATTAATAATATCATACTTAATAATTTCAGGGATGAATTTATCCGGTATTGAATCGCAGTTTGCTATGCAAAATCGATCTACTGCTACTCAAAAATCAGCACGACTAGCAGAGAACTGTGACACATACAGGCTATCCATGTCTAGCTTGCGCCGTCAAGTAACATGCACACAGTGCAATGTAGGTGTCACATGACTATACTCTCAATCTGCGTGCACGTGTATGATGCAAGTAACAACAAATAGGGTGGAAGCTAGCGTGACATGTACACAGACATCTTTTTTTGGGCTAATCAAAAATCAAAGATTGGTACACAATTGAGATTTTGTACAGCAAAAACTGCTATGCCAAAAAATAACAGTAAATTCATCCCTGGCGCTTATTGTGTCGCTGCATATCTTATATTATTATGCGATCTGTAACAAACAGGGGGCATGGCGCTTTCTTGCAGGCTTGCCGAGTGGAAGGTGCGACGTACTCCTCGTGTGCCACGGACGGCAGTCGTGAGTCAGCCAAGTGTCAAGTTTGGCAGGAAGCGTGTGCTCCTCGTTGGAACAGCCAACTTCATCACTAATGCCGCTGAAGTTGCAACTTTTAAGTTTCATCTGTAGCATATTTTTATTATTGGTTAAAAAAACGAAGGCAAGTATAGGGTCGCATGTATCCACGCAAACACACATCCAGTCAAATAAGGCACTTGCCATAAAGTATCCTCCCTGTACAATCCTCGATGAGAAGGGACCGAAAACGTTCTGATACTTTTTGACAAGTGCCTTATTTGACTGGATGTGTGTGTGTTTGCGTGGATATTTGCGACTTTATACTTACCTTCGTTTTTTAAGTATTATCTGCGGCCGACCTCTTTTCAATATTATTATTATTACGCAGGCGTAGAATTCCCTACCTTTGTGCGGTCTCCGTTATACAGCTTAATTGGAAACACAAATGATGTGGCTGGCCTTCTGGTTCAGCCGATCGTAGACAACTTGAGCTTTGGGGTTCCCGCTCGACACCATCAGATACGGGGTTTCTTTTGCAGTCCAGGTGAAGAATGCACTTTCCAGCTGCAATGTTCCCAGCAAGCGCAGCACGCACTGGTATTCGTACCGGCTGTAGCCTGGCAGGCGGAGACCGGCTGCTTGGCATGTGTCAGCTGCGTACAGATAGTCGCGATGGCCCAGGTCTGCGAACTCCACCTGCGCCACCCCAGCGCAAGAGAAGCCTAAGCAGGCACACAAGCACACACAAACACACACAAATATGTACAGACCGGACCCATGCATACAGGTTTTACACGCATCAATAGGCAGGTGTCCAAGATCCTCCGGCTGCATATAGCGCTCCGAGTCCAGTGGACCGATGTGTGTTTAAACACGAAACCTCCGAGTAACAGCATGGAAGGGCTGGGTGGTACCACTGCTGTGTGAGTGTTGTGCATACACAGATATATACTGTACTGCACTGCAATTGATCGCTGCCGTAAACGGGCCAAGTGGATCTCCCCTTGGGAGAGAGAGGAGAGGGTTGTAGGAGTTGGATTTGTTTTTGATCTTGCAGAATACATGTACATGGTACTAGGCTCAGGTGCTACCCTGCTGTAGCTCTTTAAGCACCCCTGCTGCTGTAGCTCTTTATTGTGTGTACCGTATTTCCCCGATTATAAGTCGCACCCGATTATAAGTCACACCCCCATTTTCAGGTTTGAGCAATATTGTTTCGATATATCCACTTCAGTAGTAAGTCACGCTCGAGTGTAAGCCGCGCTCCCTTTTTTACCCTGCATTTTAGTGTAAAAAGGTAAAAAGGTGCCGGGACTTATAATCGGGGAAATACGGTACCCATAGTGCTGCTTTAATGAAACACGAGCAAGTTCACGTGGCCACAGACTCGTGGTGGGTGCCTCGTATGATAAATTGATAATTTAAAAGATTAATTATGACTTATGATCTCGGGATCAGCTGACATCAACACAAAAATGTCGGCATGGGCGAAACAAACAGAGTTAGTAGTTTCCCTTCTTTATGTCCCGCTGTATTTATAGAGGCTTTTCAGAGAGAGGAGTTTCAACAATGCGATAAATAGAACAAATGATATCAACATAATACTATGTAACATTCATGAAATGCAAAAATGTACAAAACGTGATTCATAAATGTTTTTCTTTCCATGGTCATCAGTGAACCTACATTGATTGACATAATACAGTTGTGGCAAGTGAAATCCGACACTTGCCATAGGGGACAGCGCCTCAAATGGACATCAATGATGTAATGCACTGCACCAAATTTGTACTATAGAGCCGTATGCATCCCAAACAGGTCGAAAGGTCACAGCTTAGATACACACAGTTCACAAACATGGTACACATAAGGAGTATTGGTATCCAATTCCCATTCATTTTTGCCAGCACCTTTTGAACCTTGACTGTGATGAGTACGAATTCTGTCATCAGACAGATAAAGTTGTATGCAGCACATGTACTGTACGTATGCAGGGCTGCAGAGGCTGCAGGATGCACGGTGCAGTCCCTTATGCCAAGTGTCGGATTTCACTTGCCACAACTGTATTATTCCTTCTGAATGCGTAAGTCAGGCTTGAGCAAGTGAATGCATACAGCTTCCAGCAGGAGTACATAACCCCCCCCCCCCCAGAATGTGCAACACCTGATGCAGCTCTGCACAGGGTCTTGGTCGAGCATAATCGGATCTTCTGATGTCATGCGTACACTCCACACCAGCGTAAGGCCGTTCTCGAGACAGGGTACCGTTGTTTTTGATCCTAGAGTACCCGCGACTGCCCGGGCTCCCCTCAGGTGTGTACGATATTATGACGCAAAGGTCAGATTACGCTCGACCAAGACCCTATGCAGAGCTGGATCAGGCGTTGCACACTCTGGGGGTTATGTACTCTTGCTTCCAGCACCTAGGCTAGTCAGATGTATGGTGATGACAGTTTCAGCGTATTGTGCTGTGCTAGCTGTTTGTCACAGATAAATGTGCTGGAAGCTGTAGACATTCACTTACTCAAGGCTGACACATGCATACAGAAGGAATTTGTCACATCTCTCACACTTTACACTAAGATTCTGTTCACTCTCAACTGTCCTTTACACTGCTTTCACACCATTGCAACAATGTAATCACTTTTCACCCTTGCACTCGTGCTGCCACTGTAGTTCTTGCAACCTCCAATCATGACTTTGTAGCTTTGTTTGAGCACATTACAATAATTGTTTATTCACTTGTAAATCACCATTCGATGTAGGTTCACTGATGACCATCGAAAGAAGAACGTTTATGAATCCATTTATTGCGTTAATCCCATTTTAATAACATTTTTACTTCCGCCTTTGTGGTAATGCTTTGTGGTAATGCTTTGTGGTAATGCTCCATCCTTGTGGTGTTGAGCACTCTAGGCAATCTGGGAACTCTCGCTATTGTTTTTGTAACATTTTTTACATTTCATGATTGTTACATGGTGCTAAGTTGACATCAGTTGTTCGATTTATCGCATTGTATTTTGTAGTATGACCCATTATCTCCCTGCGGACGTAGACAACAAATTCCTGCCCGGCGGCTGGTACAGTGTAAAGGGAACATTCGCCTTGATGCAACCAAATAGAATCTGGAATCAGTGCAAAGTTTTCTGAACCAGATTCTGGTAAGCATGGTACAGTTGCCGGTGAGTTGTGTATTTTGTAAAAATAAATAAATAAATAAAAAGTGTTGTACATACAGTCATGTACTTACTGGTTGCCTCTGTGCCGAAAGAGCATGAACGGTGTGGTGAACAATCAGATATGCACACATATGCAAACACACACGCGCACACACAGAAAACGCGCACAGACAGTCAGACACACACATTTGAATGCGTGCGCGCATACACACACACACACACACACACACATGTACACACACACACACAAACACACACACACACACATGTACACACACACACACACACACACACACATGTACACACACACACAAACACACACAAACACACATGTACACACACACACATGAATACATGTGGAAATGCATGCATGTGTACATGTAGACGTATACAAACATGAACATACATACGCACAAAGCGACTTGTTAGAAATCAGAGCTATGAAAGCCACATGCATAAAGGGAGGATTAGCCAACACCCCGGAAAAATACGGTCCCATAGCTCAATAGTGCATCACCAATGAACACACAATGCATATGACATTGCAAGCTATGGGCATTGAGATGCGTTTATTTACGTTATTAGTATCAGGCGTAAACTGAGAAGATGTGTGACAAAGACCCACACACACAAAAGTGACCGCAACTCACAGGGCTTTATTCAGTTTAATTTGTCGATAAAGACCGCTGGTGGCAAACTAACTAGGCTTCAGCCACTGTTGTACTGTGCGGTACATGTATATGTTATACTTACAACTCGACAAAACTTACTTCTGCAAATTGGTACTCCGGAGAAGGACCATCCGGTGGGTTTTGTACACCTTGCAATTTTGAGGTAATCTTGGATGTTCACGATGGGAAAGTAGCCAGGATTGCACGTTCCCGAGGTGGTTCGGCCATCGCCTACAGCTGCGTAATGTGCACCCTCGTGGTCAGCCGCCTGACATACATCTATAGTAAACAGAACACGAACAAGAATAGAGGCCAGCTCAGAACCTCTCAATCTGATTCAAGTAAGGGGTCGTCCACAAATATCGATGTTTTTTTAGAGAAGTTATTCGTTCGTTTGGGGGGGGGAGGGGGTTTGGGCCCTGTTCATCTCGTCTTTGCAGGAAAAAATATCGGACTCTATCTATGGACGGGCGCTGTTCGAACATGTAGTTGATGACCTACACAAAGTGAAAGTCAACCTCGTGAGCATAGCCATGGCAAGGTTGTGCGACCGTGGCAACGTAAACCTAGGTGTATGGTGACATTAGAGTGGCAGCTGGTCACGTTTCATGAGGAAATTGAACTTCATTAAAAAATATCGATCCCTTGCATAAACATGTGTATGGTCGTTTTGAGGGGGGAGGGGAGAAATGAACAAATATCGTCTTGAAAAAAACATCGATCTTTACGGACGGCCCCTAAACCCAAAAAGATGCAAGTGCTGCATTGATCTCACGCCCCTGGGCCATGGATTATTGATCATAAAACGTTGTCGCTGCAATGTCATGAGAGGAGTGTAAACAGCTGATGGTGCTCAGTCACAACAAGAAGCAGATAACACGTAAACCTGCTAGCCTGGTTTTCCTTTAAATGCCGTAAAGCCGCGTATTAAAGCCGGGCTAATTCCTGTTGAAGCCGATGTAGGGGCTAGGCTTCTATTCAAACCAGGTATTTCTATGTGTATTAACACTAAAACCAGGTATTTCTATGTGTATTAACACTAAAACCAGGTATTTCTATGTGTATTAACACTAAAACCAGGTATTTCTATGTGTATTAACACTAAAACCAGGTATTTCTATGTGTATTAACACTAAAACCAGGCCCATGTGCCGACAGCGCATCTTGAAAATCAGGCTTCTATTCAAAACAGGCTTCCATTCAAAATAGGCTTCTATTCAAAACAGGCGTCTATTCGAGATAGGCTTTAATACAAGACACTACGGTATTTATCTTTTTGGAATTCCATCCGAGTCCAGTAAGTCGTAAAGAAGCACAACATAAATACCCAGCATGAAGTGTGGAGAAACAAAACTGATTCCAGTATGAGCAATGAGTGCTAAGAGCAAGAGGGTACTAAAAATGCTTACTAGCTTATAATAGCCTGCATCTTTTGGCGGGTTGCCAAGTGACTTTAATAATAGCCGATTGGCATGGTACAATTCATATCGGTTCTTTTATTGAATTTTGGTTATTATTTTATCCCGCTTGGTTTTGGCATACCGCATCAAAATCTTGTGGTTTTCTCCCAAAAAACGGATAATTAACTAAAAATGGTTACCAACACACTTTCGCTCTCAAGAAATGGAATAGACATTAAATGATAACATTGACAACGATGTGTTCCCCACAGCTTGAAAGGAGAAGCTTTCTTATCAGCAGTATCATCAGCCCATACCTCAGCAGGACTACAAAGCTTCAAATGATGCCAAAAAAGCTATTCACCAGTGCGTGCGTGCGTCCGTGTATGTTTATGTGGCTGTGTGAGGTGTGTTGGTCAAAACCTATCAACTAGCATTTTAATGCAATACAGTGCAAACTCACCGCCTTGAACTGTATCACAGGAACAAGAAGATCGCAGCAAACAAACATGTGTACACAGATGTTCGTGTGGACATAGCGCGCACGCACACACACACACACACACACACACACACACACACACACACACATGTGGACAGACACACATGAACACACACACACACTCATACACACACATACACACACACACGCACGCACACGCACGCGCACACACACACACACACACACACACACACACACACACACACACACACACACACACACACTGAGATCAGTACAACACAATGAAATACTGCCTTGAAGATCAACAGGTGCACCTTGCAAGTTCATCAACCAAAGTGGCAAATGTTACACACAGTTTCTGGCCAACGTCCGCATTGTGTTGCAGGGGTCTTGGAATCCAGGGTCGGCATTTCCAATGCTGCCATGCCTCAATATGATCAATACCTAACAAATACAGACCGTAACATCAGCTTTTACCATCAGTTGATATTCAAACATCCGGCAGTGAAACTTGGATGAAGTCAAAGACAAGCTGCAGTTGCATTCTTCGTTTTGGCATTCCTTTCACTTTTATTTCATCCTAACGTGGAATAACTACAGAGAAGATCCCTGGGCTAATCCTATTGATCATGATTCCGCCTGTGTTTAAATACCCCACATGATATTGATGTACTTCCACAACCTACAACACAGTTTGTACACTTGCACACACACATACACACACACACATACACACACTTGCACACACATACGCACACACACACACACACACACACACACACACTTGCACACACATACGCACACACACACACTTGCACACACATACGCACACACCATTGGGCCATTGGACGCCCATCGCCAGAGGCGATGATAGTGATGCTACGGCAGAAGCCGTAGCAGCTTGTGCTGGGATTGCACCATTCAACAGCTTGCAAGGCTGAAGAATTGACCGCCACTATTCAGCCTGGTCTACACCACACAGCTATGAAGTGGCTTTTTCTGGCCAGTGAATCCCTACTTTTTGGTCTTTTTCATTTTTTTCACGCACACACATCACACCACATACTCCGGCATGCACTGGCTGTTGGTAACCACCCAGGAGAATGAAAGAAAAGTCAGGAGGAGTCTGAGAAAGAGAAGAAAGACGTGTGTGACCATAATCGTCGGGAATTGAACCCGCAACCTCTCGATTGGAAATCGCTGCACATACCACTGCAACATATGGGACGCACACACAGACACACGCACACACACACACGCACACACACACACACACGCACACACACACACATGCACACACACACACACTTGCACACACACACGCACACACACACACACACACACATGCACACACACACACACACACACTTGCACACACACACACACACACACACACTTGCACACACACACACACACACACACACACACACACACACACACACACACACACACACACACACACACACTTGCACACACTTGCACACACACACACACATACACACTTGCACACACACACACACACACACACACACACACACACACACGCACGCACACACACACTTGCACACACACACACACACACTTGCACACACACACACACACACTTGCACACACACACTTGCACACACACACACACACACACACACTTGCACACACACACACACACACACACACACACACACACACACACACACATTTTCTACGAACATCTTATAAACTTTAAAAGTATACTCACAATAGCAATGTGGCCCTTGAGGGATTACCCAGCCCTTGTCCTCAGCACACATAGCTTTTGGGTTTGGATCTGAAAACAAGCCGGGATGACACACTGCCCTGGCAATGGCTGGAGCAATTGTTTTGGGGAAATAGCCATTTGTGACAGACGTTCGGTTACAAATACCTGCAAGTTGGTGAAAAGGACAACAGTATGGCCAGTCATCAGTGTGATACTAAAGATAGCACTATCATACTACTGTCGTGGGTATGGAAATCCAGTCGAATGACTCGGGGCCAGCGCCCTCAGCGCGTACAGAACGTTGCATGCAGCGCACATGTTGATCCGATGCGACCAGCGCGCTGCAATGGATAAATGAGTGTGTTTACCTTACTCACGGCTGCATGGCCAGCGCCCTGGGGCCACTAGACGTGCGACCGGATTTCCATGTCCACGACAGTAGGTCATGCACTATCCGTGTTCATAGTCATAAGCATGCAAGAGCTGGTCACAAGTGCCAAATATGGGACAGGGTAGCAGCAACGCTGGTAAGCACTGGGGGCATGTTCGATTGGTAGGATCGGAATCGAGATCCAGATCTCAGATCCGTTGGATCCTTCCAGAGTCAACTGAACATTTTATTTTGGGCCTTGGCTGTTGCCATGTCGACGAAGTAATAAATTGGCGTTCACTGGTCACCCAGAAGGGTGAAAGTCGTACTCATCACGCGCGTCGTACGAAAAGTCAACAAGATGCATCTCGAACCACGTGTGTGCGTACCACAATGTGTACAAAAATGACAATTACCCACCATATACGCACAAAAGTCACATTTGGATCCGTTGGATCCGGTCAACCCTGCTCCCCGAGGTGGATTGACCGGATCCAAATTCAAAGGATCCAGATCCGGATTCGACCAATCGAAAGGGTGCGAATCCAGTGGATCAGGATTCCGATCCGACCAATCGAACATGCCCTAAGACATGTCCCAAACGTTCCTTTTTGAATTTTTTTTGAAGTTTTGATACTTTCCACGACGATGCGAGATGTTATTCTTTAGAACCACCTGCTTGGCATTGTGTTCCAGGAGGTTGGCATAGCTCCACAATCTTCTGATTTGGCACAGGTTTGAATTTTACTCGTACAAGCATCCAGTATAGCATCAAAAATTATGACGAAAAAGCGACCGAGACAATATCTTCATGCTAAAGGTGTGAGCCACACTTGTTCCTATCTTTGATAGTAGTTCGAGTTGCAGTTCATTTCAATCTGCCTGATTCTGGTTTTCATATTCCTGTCTTCTTGAGCATTTTCAGAGTTGTGAAATACATGTACTGGTTCGAGTGTGCAGCGCTATGGGAATTGGCATGTCCACCCGAATTCCTCATGTCAGAGATGAAGCTGCAGGAAGCAGAGCAGAGCAGTTTCAGAATATATGGCGAAAAGCACTGGCTCCACTGGGAGAAAGACCGCATTTACGTAGGCGTGAAACTTGTTTTCTGCCAGCTGCGGCGAGCAGCAGGATTGCTTTCTTTTGACGGTTTTAAAAGGCAGTTCAAACCACTTAGGACGTGAATTTTTTTACAGAAGAAGTGCTGTTTTCTCTGTTCCAAGTTGTTCTCCAGCCTGCATAAACTACGGAAATGATATTCCTATGGGTATACTTATGCATTTTGTTGTACTTATGCTTGAAGGTACGAAAAACGTAGCTTTCGTAACTTTGGGGCCCCAAACACAACAAAATGCATAAGTATCCCCATAGGAATATCATTTCCGCAGTCTATACATGCCAGAGAACGACTTAGAACAGAGAAAACAGCACTTCTTCTGTAAAAGATTGTTCACGTCCAAAGTGGCTTGAGCTACCTTTAAAAAGGATTTCAGTCCTTCTGTTCTAGATTGTACAGTTGCGCTCCCTGAAAAACTGGCGCCCTGGACCAGTTGCGATTACATCACTGTTCCTTGTACATGTACAGGCACATTTGTGCCACTTCCAGGGCATCAAGGTCTGTGCGAGTTCAGGGCACCAGTTACGCACTTCGGGTCAGATTTCATCGAGCACACCTGCATTTCAAGAATCACTATGAACAAGGACTCGCTTTCATCGAAGAAATGAATAACATAGAGCAATGCTGCGTTCAAAACTGACACGTGTGCGTGTGAACCTACGCTCTTCTGTATATCTGTGCCGGCCTTTGGCGTGTCATTCTGAACAATTGTACTGATGAACATACACATTGTGGACCCACATAACGCAACTACATGTCCATGAATTTTGAGGATGCTTCCAAGCTCTTCAAGTGGAAAAAGGCGTAATGTAGGAATTGGTCAGTAGCTACTCTCAGTTTCACGCTCTGTTAGTCATAACTGGGCTTATTTCAGTAACACAACACGCTCTGTTAGTCATAACTGTGCTTATTTCAGTAACACAATTGGACGGGTTGATTAGCTGATGAACTGCCTTGGCATGGTAGTTTCCTCGCCGGGTTTCTCTGTAATACACACACAATGTGTCGGTTATACTCACGATGGCAATGCCTTCCTGATGGAATACCCCAGGAATTATCTAGGCGACAGCGAGCTACGTAGTTCGGATCAGCTTGGAAGCCGTGGTTGCACCTTACGGTGGCGGAAGCTGGACCAATTGTTCGCGGAAAATAGCCGTCCCAGACAACACGTTTAGCGCAAATACCTGCAAGATAGGAGAGAGGGCAGACAATGTCACTCGATTTTTTTAAACAATCTATCGAGTTGCCCCGGGAGAAGGGAGCACTCTATCGGGTTGCTTCAGGAGAAGGGAGCACTCTATCGGGTTGCCTCGGGAGAAGGGAGCACTCTATCGGGTTGACGTGCAGACCGTTAAAGCGCTGCAGTTTCAACCTAACAAAGGCAGAGTGTTGGGATGGCCTATGCCTTCGCTACGGGTGGGTACCACCAAGACTTCCAGCCTCGCGTGTGTGTGTGGTACAGAGTTTGCAATTTGCCATGCGTTATCCTGCCCATGTGGAGCCTTCCCCTCCATCTGACATAATGAAATCCGAGATCTCACCGCAGTGATGTTGAGGCAAGCTGCACATAATGTGTCCGTTGAGCCGTTGCTCCGCTCACTGTCTGGGGAGCGGTTTCAGCATCGCTCGGCAACAACTGACGGCCATGCTCGCCTAGATGTCGGTGCCAGTGGATTGTGGGGCAGCCGTTTGGAGCGCACCTTAAATGATGTACAGGTATTTAACCCACATTCATTGTCAAACCGTGTTGTTCCTCTTTTGACTGCCGACCGAAATCATGAGAGTGAAAAGAAAAGGCATTGTGGTGAGTGCGCGAGGGACGTCAAGCAGGCATTCTTTGTTCCGGCAGTGATGTCCGCAACCGGAAGCTTCGGTCGTGCGACAGCGGCCTTCTACAAGCGTATAGCTAGCCTGCGCTCAGTAAAACAGTCTGAGTCTTACAGCCATGCCATGGCTTTTATTCGGTGCAGGATTTCGTTTGCTCTGCAGTGTTCTTGCATTGCTGGTTTGCATGGCTCTCGTGTTTAAAAAGCATCATGCTGCTGCTAATTAGGTATGCCACACTCCGGCAGTGCCGGAAGCCCACATCTCGCAAGACTAGTTGCCATTTCTCGCTTCCCTTCTGTGCGTTTGTTGCTTATCGTGTTCTTGTTTGTATTCAATTTTTTGTCCGTTTTGTTTTGCTTATGTTTTTGGGAACACAGCCCCATGATGTGTGATCAGCCGTATTGAGCGTTGGGAACACAGCCCCATGCTGTGTGATCAGCCGTATTGAGCGTTTAGACAGTGTGGCGAACAGTGACTGTGACACCACCCATGCATAAAATGTTTATCAGTTGTTATGCGTATGGTCATAAACGAGAGAGCTTGAGAGCTAAGGGACCTCGCCACTATGATTTTAACGCTGATACGGAATGAGGGTATTGAGCTTTCAAACTCTCTTTTTTCACGCTATGGTCCCAGCTTGGAGCAAACTGCAGCCCGTGGCCATACGAGCACTTGCAAGAAGAAAGAAAAAAACTCTAAAAGCCAGACAGGCCTAGACATGCAAATTCTACCAAGTTGTTATTTCACTCTATGGTACTTGTAGCTTTGTTTCCCTTTTTCTATTCTTTTTCCACACATAACATGGAATTCGATCCCGCGCTATCACCCTGCATGCATTCCCTCGATACACATTGCATACATACAGTCTGTATCGGCTATAGAGTGACCGGATATAAGAATATATCGGCTACAGTGATATTGGTACGAAATATCAAAAGCAAAACGTATTTTATCCAGTACAAATATCACTATAACCAATATTATCGGATGTAGTGATATATCGGATATTATGATGGGAACAAAGAATCAAAACATGCATAACACACTATATTATTATCGGCTATAGTGATACCTTTAAAAAACATGTAGCAGTAATATCAAAGGCCCTATTTTTTTAACTTTCTTCACGTTTCTTCATGTTGCTTATTTTTATAGTGATACATGTACATGAACCATATTTATCAACCATAAGTACAGCTGCAGTGGTGTCTTCAACTTCATTCTCCCGAGTCGAGCTCCGTGTGAAGACATCCAAGAAGAAGATTGCCTGATGAGTCCAGCGGGGACGAAACGTACGTCGCAATCGAGCTATGTCGTTGCTGTGTCATCTGCTATGTGCCATGCACTACTTGATGTACCAGCCTGCTATGCCGGATACCGCCAACCATGCATCGACCAGGCGCCAGGCGCGAACTGAAGGTGGTGGTGGTGAGAAGGAGAGCTCTGTGCCAGAACTTTGCAGCCTAGAGAGCGTGTGTGGGCAGGCGTGTGTTTACCGCCATATTGCCAGGTGTGTCTTTACCACCATATTTATCAACCATACATGTACATAACAGAATTTTTTATGGAAATGCGGGCACTGTCAACTATGCAACATGCTCTTTTGTCAAAACGCCATGCTGGAAGTATTTCCTTGCCTTTCATGTGTTGATCAAAAAAAGATTGATCGTATCGCATCGGTAATAGTGATAAAATCACGGAAATCAAAAGGGTACGCTATAGCCGATACAGACTGTACATGCAATGTATGTGTGGTATGTCATACCGTATCAAGTTGTTTCATGCTATTAAATGTCGTGCCGTTGAAAGCCCTATTTTAAATATGTGCATGAAAAACTGGCGACCTGGTCTATTTGACCGTACAATACGGGACGATGCATGGGATGGTGTTACCACACACGCGCACAGACACACACACACACACACATACATACAAGGATACAAAATAAAACGCTGTGGACCCTCGCTAGCCCTAGACGATACTGATGTAATTTTTTTCCAAAGCTTCAGGAATAAACTCATAATAACTCCTGAACTAAAGCTGGCTTCACCTGACAATTACTGTAAGACATGCCAATATATCCAGGAAGAAATCTAAAGTTTTAACTTGTGACATTAGAGAGGTTCCGGGGTACGATTTTCCGTGCCAAAATCCGTATGGGCGCTACGGATTTTTTCCAGGCATGCTCCATACGATTTTTCGGCACGGAGAATCCGTGTGGACTGGCTTTCACACGAACCATGTTTCGTATGGAGATTTTGCGTCATCGGGTGCAGAAAGATTTTCGCGTACAAATTTGGTACGAGAAACATCGATTTTCCGCGGGAAGTTTTGATTTCGGTACAAATTTTCAAAATAAAAAGGCAGAGCGCGGGAATGTGACGTGTTTGCGATCGTAACCTAGGCAATGACGGCAAACACATAAGTTCCGTACTCCGGAACATTTCACTGCTCGAAAACGACGTATAAAAAATCCGTAGCGCCTCTACGGATTTTGGCACGAAAAGTCGTACTCCGGAACCTCCCTAATTCTTCATCATAAACAACATACAGTCAGACCTCGCTTAACCGCACACATCTGTTTTCCACAAAAATATCCGGATAGGCGAGGGAACCGGAAAGCTGAACACACATACTGTATATGCATGTCAAAAGCAGTGACATCATACATACATACATGTACATGTAGACTAGACCGTAGACGGGTCGTATGCAGTACAACCAGCGTGCACAGTATGTAAAACAAGCGAGAAAAATGACAGGTGCATGCAACTGAGTGCTGTCCGCATGCACTCAGCAGGTCAAGGACCTCATTTGCTTGTACAACTCCCTGATTCTAGCTTCTGCAAGCCACATGCAACCGGATACGACGAAGCTTTTTGTACACATTTTAACCAGTTTGTACACAAAATCATGCACCGGTATGCGGATCGCGAGGTCCGGTTATGTTGTATGCATAACATATGCTGCACATCGGTAACCAGCGATTTTCTTCCGGATGGCGAGGGATCCGGATAAACGAGGACCGGATAAGCGAGGTCTGACTGTAGTAAGTTCTGGTTAGGCTGTAATGCCTCATATGCGAGAGAGAGAGAGAGAGAGAGAGAGAGAGAGAGAGAGAGAGAGAGAGAGAGAGAGAGAGAGAGAGAGAGAGAGAGAGAGAGACAGAGAGACAGAGAGAGAGAGAGAGAGAGAGAGAGAGAGAGAGAGAGAGAGAGAGAGAGAGAGAGAGAGAGAGAGAGAGAGAGAGAGAGAGAGAGAGAGAGAGAGAGAGAGAGAGAGACAGAGAGAGAGACACTGCACACGACTTTAGCATGAAACTTACTAAAAGTAGTGCAGGGCTGAACGACTGGTTTAGGTTCTGAGCATAACAACATTGCCAACAGCATTATAGATATACTCAGTCATAGCATATTTCAAAAAGGTGTCAATGAGTGAAATTTCATCAAAAGGTATTTCGGCGTTAGCTACCTTTTTCAAAAGGTTTTCAAAGGGTACTATAAATATACAAAATTTCGGCATTTCACAATTTCGGCTTTTCAACAGCGATTTACTCTCGGCATGGGGTTAATAGTAAATTCAATACCAGGATCGTACACAGCGTGAGTTAGCGGTCCATTGCAGGCAAAATTCCACGCCAATGATTTTTGTAAGTTTCAGTGTTTCTTTTCTAGTGTTTCTCCTAAAATGAAACGGAATCATGCTCACACTATTGAAGTATTCGCTAGTCATGAAGAGTAACAAAGTAGGCTCAAAAGTTGTTGGTCACTGCATTGTAGTACTGGTCACTGGAAATGACCCGGTCACTTTGTCACGGTGACCCAGGGTGCGTACTGTACAGATTCCAGGCCCCTGAACTCCGCACCGTCTCCAAGACCCTGAATACTGTGTACTGCACAGTCGTACACTATCCGTAAGTGGAGCGAATGAAATCCTAGCTTGCTGAAAATCCAGTCAGGCGAGCACTGATTCCCGAAGTTTAGTATAAATTTTGAAAATCCTCAAATTGCAACGGTTGCCATTGCACGACTTGTTTACAAGGCACTGTAGCCAGATCACACACGAAATGCAGCACTCAGTCTGCTTGCCCCCCCCCCCCCCCACGCCATCCCGCTTACGGTGCGAAACCCTGAGAAGATTCAATTCTGCCACTTCCCATTGCGTCCAGAGCTAAGATTGCATTGCCTTTCCTGGTGTTCACATTCGACACGGTTTTCATTTAATTCGATTGATTTTTTCCAAAGGCGAATAGATGCCCATAGCGGGAATCTCAGGGGTGAAAATACAAGTAACATCACTTCTGGTTGGAAATGTTGAAGGAGAGACCTAAAGGAGGGAAAGATGTTTTTAAAGCTGTCCATGCATGGATGGATCAGTCGGCATTTTACGCATGCAAATGTACATGGAACAGCTATTCAGTTCTGGCTAAATTGGAACCCCCTGAAGAGATCTCTAGATCTACCCAAGCCACATACCGTATTCTCCCGTTTGTAAGTCTAAGCCCCGCACTTGGGACCTCAAGTTCCCGGTTTATTTCCAGTTAAACCCGACTGTAAGTCGACCACCCCTTTTTTAGTTCCGTTTTTAGGTCGTAAAAGGTCGATTTGTATTCAGGGAAAATAAGGTATATGGATGCACTAAAAGTAAAAATACAGTAACAACAACAACAACAACAACAACAACAACAACAACAACAACAACAACAACAACAACACCCAGCTTCGCGAAATCCCTTCTCATACTCCCTTCAAATCCCAGATATCCCTGCTGTTGCACAACTCTGTATGCTCGTGTAGCGACCACCCCTGTGCGTACACTTAAGTAGTCATTAACCCCTAGGCCCTGCCCGCCCAATTCTTCCTCACTCTTTCTCCTTTCTTACACTATTATCTCTTATTGACCACTGGCTATCGTGAGAATAAAGATTTGAAACAACAACAACAACAACAACAACAACAACAACAACAACAACAACAACAACAGCAACAACAACAACAACAACAACAACAACAACAACAACAACAACAACAGCAACAACAACAACAACAACAACAACAACAACAACACAAATATCTTCAACGGGCACTCCTCACAATGCGTTGGCTACACTTACGGTAACAGTAAGGCTCGCCGGCCGTTCTCCAAGAATCATCTCCAGCACAGGTATCTTCTTTGCCAGGATAGGGTAAGAAACCGGCATTGCAAATCGGTGCGACTTTCCTCGGGCCAATTGTGTTAGGAATATAGCCATTGTAGACGTTTCTCCTTGCACAAGCGCCTGAAAGTCAAGAAGAAAAGGGCCAACAGTGTGGTTAAAGGCGACAGTGTTCAAGACAAGACGTCAGCATTAGAAGCTGTCTGCAGTCATAGGTATGGCCAACCTACAACCTACAGCGGGTTGTAGTTGTTGTTGTTGTATACTTTATTTATAGTGGAGATCAAAACAGGCAGAGTGCCTAATAACAATCGACCCATTGGGTTGTAGTTGCCGAATACGGGATACGGTCACAGTTCCAGTATGTGCATAGGATCAAGAGCTAATGAAAACCAGAGCGGAAGCTGTGCACTAGTGTGCAGCGCCTAGGCATGTGCAGCTGCTAGGCATGTGCAGCTGCTAGGCATGTGCAGCGGCTAGGCCTCTCACTTGTCTACCAGACCTGAATCAGACGGATTCTTTCTTACACCATGCGTCGTATCCATACACGTGACTTTTTGGCCTCTACGTGACAAGTCTGCCTTATTTTAATAGGTGTCTAATTATTTATCTATCTCCCGCAAACTTTATTTTACGTCTTCACACAAGGCCTGGGGCCTTCCTTATTTGGTATACCCTACATGTTATTTCCCCCAGCTGGCTCCCGCTCTTTATGCAACAGTTTGTACACATATTTACTACGGTTTTGATACGCTATTGCATGCGGGACCAGCAATCCCGTGGCCATGGACTTCCATGGCCGAAACTAGATATTATTGCTATCACCTTCCTTTTTTCTCTCTCTCTCTCTCTCTCTCTCAACTTTCGTCTTTACGACAAGTCACGACTTCTATTCTTCTCTTTGGTAATTATTGTTTGATCATTATGTCTGACTGGAAGATTTGAGTCTCGATGTGAAAGTATAGGCGTGTGTGTGTGTGTGTGTGTGTGTGTGTTTGTGTGTGTGTGTGTTTGTGTGTGTGTGTTTGTGTGTGTGTGTGTGTGTGTTTGTGTGTGTTTGTGTGTGTGTGTGTGTGTGTGTGTGTGTGTGTGTGTGCGAATGTGGGTGTGCGGTACATGTGAGGGTATGGCGTGTGAGTGTGTGACCAGGTGTGGTGTGACCCGAACATGCCTAAATATGTCTGAATCGCGAGTATATGTGGTGCCGGAACGTCTAGTAATGTAATTATAGCTACGGCCACCACTGCACGGCCTTGTAATGTGATAGTCGTAGGTTAGTCATGGTGATTCCGCGGCTCCGGGGCCTAACTCCGGGTCGCCGGACTACGACACCAATGTAGAAATACTTCTCTCCTTCCTACACCGTGTGTGCCGGTGTGGAGATACTTCCCTCCTTCTAACCAGTGTAGAAACAGTATGTTTACACCGGTATAGGAGAGAATTCGATTATAAACCATACTATCAAGAGTCCATAACACCAAGAGTGTGCAACTGGCGTCTGGCTGCTGTAGGCCCACTGCGCGGCGGAATTCCAACATTGCGTCGTGCCGCTGAGGCACAGCTGTACAAAACTGCGCATTCCGCGGTGCTTGGGACCAGGGAGTAGTACAAGCGCAACGAACGTGTACGTCATTTTTGACGTAACGTTGGAATTCCGCCGCGCGGATCCCCGTGTACAGAGTTGCACACTCTTGGGGTTATGGACTCTTGATACCAGCTGTAGCAAGGAAAAGGACCGAAGAACTGTACTATCGGTCAGTTTGTGCAACATTATCGCACGAGCTGATTGTCAAGTAACCGATGGTGTTACCGAACATACAGCGTAACTTGTAGTTACATTATACTTTAAAAAAATATATAAAAAAAAAAAAACTTGGCCATCTTCTTGTTTGTTATGCTACCTATTCAATATCGCACATGTGGAGAACCCCTCGATAGGCTACCCGCCTCTGGGACCAGGGTCATCCCTAGCATAAAGATAATAATAACATACCTGCCAAGTACTGCGAGTGCTTTTTCTGGTTCGCCATGGCAAAATCCCGGGATTTGCCTTAGTTTTTCGGGACATGTCATATTTTTTACCAAAACCCTTTTTCAACTTTTGATGGCACCACGAACATTTCGATAATAGATGATTGATGGTGATCATCGGATTACACTTACGCATGTTCAAGACTCAAAAATGGAGGTTTTTCAGAGACGGCTCATGGAAGGAGCACTAGTAGATCCACTGGTACTGCGGGCTATGGCGGTCCGGGATCAATAAGGACAACTACTGGCCTGTGACAAGTCATTTGAAGTGCTCCAAGTACAATATCAAGCTTGTTTCTTGTACAGTGAATTTCAGGATAATCGACAGGAATTTCGGGATCGCGGGAGTTCATCCAAAATTGCGGGATAATCCCGAAAAAATCTGGATACTTGGCAGGTATGTAATAATGAAGGGCTCGATTTCAGGTTTGATGACGGTTACTTTTCAACGGATTTTGTTTTCTGATTTAGCTCTCTTGCTATTTCTGTACCTGCTTGTGTTAGGTCTCGTTCTAGCAGATTAGTTGTATAATAGATTGTACATACATCATTGTGGATTTGCTATTCACAGTGTTTCTCTCTTTTTCTTTTTCTGTTTTTCTCAGTCTCCCTTATTATATTTTCTTCACATACAACAGCAGTACTCCCCATGGTCTTAAGTGACCCGGGATGCTGCATAATCCAGACGGCACAAAACCAATAAAGCCCCCCCCCCATAATAATAAAAAATTAATCCTTGGCTCTCCATCCGAGTACGTACTATGCTGCACATCACTGTTATCAGCTGTCATCACCTGTCTGAAGTCTGAGTTTGCCGGGAGATGGCATGAAACTGTTAGCTACAACTTAGCAAGGCGAGGCGTGCTTGAGCTGCAACTAGTGGGTCTCTCACTTGTCTATATCTTGGACTCAAGGGTGAATGAACCAACGCCCAGGGGCTAGCCCCAACAGCAAATTATTGCTTGTTCAAAGTCGCAAATTATTGCTTGTTCAAAGTCGCAAATTATTGCTTGTTCAAAGTCACAAATTATTGCTTGTTCAAAGTCGCAAATTATTGCTTGTTCAAAGTCGCAAATTATTGCTTGTTCAAAGTCGCAAACTATTGCTTGTTCAAAGTCGCAAATTATTGCTTGTTCAAAGTCGCAAATTATTGCTTGTTCAAAGTCACAAATTATTGCTTGTTCAAAGTTGCAAATTATTGCTTGTTCAAAGTCGCAAATTATTGCTTGTTCAAAGTCGCAAATTATTGCTTGTTCAAAGTCACAAATTATTGCTTGTTCAAAGTCGCAAATTATTGCTTGTTCAAAGTCGCAAATTATTGCTTGTTCAAAGTCGCAAATTATTGCTTGTTCAAAGTCGCAAATTATTGCTTGTTCAAAGTCAATACATCTCAGTACTGCTGGGTGCTGAAGAACTATGGGGGGGGGGCAGCCTCCTAGCCTAGGTCATTCTTATTTTCTTGTCTACAATCTATGCACAGTGGAGTTAGTATGCATACATTGGTATGCTGTGCTTGGTGAAATCCCAGCCTGTTTGTTCTTTGGCGCTACGTTCTTTGGCAAGCGACAAGTACAGTTGGCATACACAACACTGAGTACAGTTGGCATACAACACTGAATTAGGTTACTTACTGTATGATCCACTGGGATCTGCGATATAAGCAGAAACAAAACGAAACGAACGCAGAAAACGGGTTTAGACCATACCACAGAAGCCACTGGTAAATCCAATTGAACCACGGTCAGACCTCGCTTATCCGGTCCTCTTTTATCCGGATCCTGCGGCATCTAGAAGAAAATCGCTGCTTACCAATTTACAGCATATTCCATGCACACATATAATATAGTATGTGTGTTTGTTTATCCGGTTCTCTCGCCTACCCGGATATTTTTGTGGGAAACGGATGTGTGCGGTTAAGCGAGGTCTGAGTATATTACTCTTCACTATCTGCCCACTGTTCATATGAACAGTAGCTAACACATCATGACCCTTTATTCTTTTTTTGTCAGGCAGTCAAAGCAGAGGCAAATTGGCTGCCCAAGAGGCCACAAGTGGCAGCAGCTACCGATAACGAAACCAGAATAGCAGAGCGGTACTTCATGCAACGATGTCCTCCTATGGTCTGCTTTGATGTTACAGCAGTCAGAAAAAAAGATGTTCGGACATAGAGTCAATCTCATGGACAGTGACGTCGAGTACAACCAACAACTCGAGTACAATCACACAATCTTCAGACATACAGTACATTCTGAAAAAGATGAGCGGTGGCTCTGGAGAGCTCCCGTATTTGGCGATTTTGTGGTGCGCTGTGCACAGCACGAGATTTAAACTTGAAAAAAGGGTCCAAAAAGGTGCCTCAACTGGGGTTTGAACCGCAAAGACTTACGGCCCATTCTGAAAAAGATGAGCAGTGGCTCTGGAGAGCTCCCGTATTTGGCGATTTTGTGGTGCGCTGTGCAAAGCACGAGATTTAAACTATGTTACTTGAAAAAGGGTCCAAAAAGGTACCTCAACTGGGGTTCGAACTGCAAATGTACTGTTATGCAAGTGGAGTGAATGGCCTGGGTTTTCATGGTTCTTACCTAATTCAGTGCTTTGGGGGCAAAACCTGGCCGAAATCCTATTCTTGTTATGACTTGCTCTTTGGAGAAATAGACTTCAAGACCATAATTGGAAGAGCATTCCATGAGGGTTGCCAAAAAAGTGTGACAAAACTCAAAATTTGAAATTAGGGCCAAAAGCTAGGATATCATCTTTTCTGAATGGACTGTAGTTAGTGACCAGTTGACCGCATACTTGCAGCCTGACAACTTGCGAATAACGAAAATTTTCTCATGCACTGTCGAGGGTGGTTGGCTATTCTATATCGGAAATCTATCTGGGTTCACCACCTTGCAGATGAGAGAGAGAGACCAGGAGAGAAACCAGGAGAGAGAGAGTGACCAGGAGAGAGAGAGAGAGAGAGAGAGAGAGAGAGAGAGAGAGAGAGAGAGAGAGAGAGAGAGAGAGAGAGAGAGAGAGAGATAGATAGATAGATAGATAGATAGATAGATAGATACTGACTTGTCAGTTTGAACACTCTGGCAAGGTACATTCGGGCCTGATTTAAATCTGGCTTTGGAAATTTATTTTCATTGCTATCAGGTTCGGCCTCATTTCCTCTGTGCTGCGCTGATGAGTTCACAAAGAACGAAACTGCATGCTGTCCGCAGATTGAGTAGATAGGTAGATAGAGAGATAGACAGAGAGAGCTGGCACACAAGACATCTTCAAAACGGCCCTTACTAAAGTTCGCATCACAAGGCGTTGGGATCTGCGTAGAATCTGAGCACAGAGCAAAGTCAAAGACCACAGGCACACCAAGGTAAATCAGCCATTTAGTTAGTCAACAGTGTTTGTGCACGCAGAACTACTTAATTTTCCGTATCCCTCGTGCAATGAATTCCGGGTGATCGAGTGAGGTTTTTTGAGTGACGACTTTAGGTCCAATAAAGTCGAGTTACAACCGGTGAAAAGCAGTGAGCGCCTCACCTTTTGCTGGGTAGGAACTGCCAGGAACTGCCTCAGTGCCACTACATGAGTTAGTATGGTGCGCTTCTCTCTGTACCCAAACTTCTGTTCCCCGAATCTGGTCATTTGCTCTCATACATATAATAGGCTATAATATTGAGCACTACCACACGCTCCGTGCATCCTCCCGGTAATATTGAGCACTTTTAAAATAATCTGAAATTTTAAAAGTACTTTATTGTGCTGAAGCGGGCCGTGAATATACTCCATCTGGAGTGGCAAACCATGTAGTGTTTTTGAAACTCTTTTGCTCTAGCACAGAGGAGAGAAGGAATTGTTTTAGGCAACATTCCAGGGAATACTGGAGTCGGAGTGTATTTCTCGCTAAATGGCTAAACATTGTGCCCCGTTAGAGATTCAAGCCGTGCAGTGTGCTACAGAGGTGAAAACACTATTTCAATACGTACCAGCGCAAACAGCGCCAATGAGCAAGAACGCTAGAAGAATCCTTAGCTGGCCAGCCATACTGAGGATAGGGTCTGCAGAACAAGAAAAAAGAAGGGAAGAAAACGACTTGGACAAATGCAGAGGAGAAAAAGTATTTCAACGTGCGCACACACGAACGCATGAACACGCATACAGACACCTGCCCACACACACGCACACACACACACACACACACGTGCGCCCACGCAAACATGCACTCAGGGGTTCACCGGCATATGATATAGCATGGCCACGGGCTCAGTCTCGAGTCAATTACTTGGCAAAGCCGGTCAGATGACTTCAACAACCATGTGCCTTATGAGCCCAGCCATGGCCATGCGTAAAGGACTACAAAATACAGCGTTGCCTTCAAAGTTGGAGAACGTGAGACACTAAAACCTTCTCAGCAGCAATTTACTTGAGCAATGTGTGTACTCATCGCGTGGCTGCAGGTCTTCACACTCTTCACAGACTTCTGTTCCGTCTTCACTCCCACTGTCACTTGTTCAGTGTTGCAGACAAGCAGATTGCAGCTGACCAAATGCCAGCAAGCCTCTCATAACTTCGCATGGAAAGCTCAGGAATATTGAATGCCAAGAGAACCCCTTGCTATTGTGCACACGGACACACACACATGGACTTACATGGACACGCATGGACACACACACACGGACACACACACACACGCACCTTACATCTTACACCTGTCCATCGCTGAAGCAATGATAGCCAACAAGTTATGTTAGATATAGCAACTTGTTCTTGGGATTACACCATTCAACAGCTTGCAAGGCTGATGAATTGACCGCCACTAATTTTAGTCTAGTCTACACCACACAGCTGATTGAATGGCTTTTTCTGGACAGTGAATCTCTATTTTTCACAAAGTTTTCCACCTTGTACACGGTACATCTTTTCTTTCACAGTTTTAATTTGCGAAGGTACAACGGTACAAGATGAATACACACGGGAACAACAATTTAAAATGCTGTTGAGACCAAGTCTTAGGGCCGATTCACAATACAACTTTTTCCAACGCGACATGCGACTTGCGACACCTGCGACGAGCTGCGACAGCGACACACGGTTCACAATCTTTCTTCATGTTTGCGACATCCTCATGCACTAGTAGCACTATGCACGTGCACCCAGGGTAGAAACTGTACTCCATTTGTGTACGGTATGTCAAGTGTCGCATGCCGCAAAAGTTGAACTTTCTTCAACTTGCGACTTTACGCGACAGGCAGTTTCTTGTCGCAACTGTCGCAAATCGCGTCGCAGAAAGTTGTATTGTGAATCGGCCTTTAATGGATAGGAACAAATCAAACGGTAGAAAGTGACCAATGGATACAGAGTCTTTACATACTGATCTACAGAGACTATCATGAATGCAGTTGTCATTGTGTGCAGATTGTCAATTTTCATTTTCTTTTTCCTTAAAAAAAATAGTAATTTTGTTTCGCTTTTTCTTTAGTTGTTGTGTCAGGCCAGTGATATTATGTTCTGTGATTGCCCGTATAAGAGGCTTATTCAACAAGCAAGTGAACAATTGCCGTAAAGTCGTGTTTAAAAGCCGCGGCTTACCGTAATGTCGCGTATAAAAGCAGGTGCTTACGGCCGTATAAGCCGGGGTACAAACCATGCTTCCATTCAAGTTATGCTTCTATTCAAAACATGCTTCTACATGTCAACATCTTCAGTCTACACTGTACAGTGTACATTGTCACACATGTAGTGTAGTGTCACGGCACGCTTTGGAAAATCGGCTTCTATTCGAGTCATGCTTCTATACCGGTCATGCTTCTATACAGGTCATGCTTTTATACAGGTCATGTTTTTATACAGGTCAAGCTTTTATACAGGTCATGCTTTTATACAGGTCATGCTTATAATACAGGTCATGCTTTTATACAGGTCATGCTTTTATACAGGTCATGCTTTTATACAGGTCATGCTTATAATACAGGTCATGCTTTTATACAGGTCATGCTTTTATACAGGTCATGCTTTTATACAGGTCATGCTTTTATACAGGTCATGCTTTTATACAGGTCATGCTTTTATACAGGTCATGCTTTTATACAGGTCATGCTTTTATACAGGTCATGCTTTTATACAGGTCATGCTTTTATACAGGTCATGCTTTTATACAGGTCAAGCTTTTATACAGGTCATGCTTTTATACAGGTCATGCTTTTATACAGGTCATGCTTTTATACGCGACACTACAGTACCGCATAATAATTATGACTTTTTGGGGGAAATTTTGCAGGCTTCTATACGAGACAGGCTTCTACACAAGAGAGGTATTTCTATGTATGTCAGCACTAAAACCAGGCTTATGTGCCGACAGTGCACCTTGAGAAATCAGGCTTGTATTCAGAAGAGCCTGCCGGGCTTCTAAGGCTGCGTTTACACGAGAGTTTTTCAACTCAGGTTGAGTTCAGCCCGGGTTGAAAGTCTCTACGATAGACAAGCGAGCATTTACAAGACAGTTGACCCAGGTTAAATACTGATATGCCGCCAAAAGTCCACTTCTAGAGTCCTGGATGTTCACATGAATACTTTCGCATGAAATTTGCATGTGCAGTGCTATTCAAACTTGGCGCGAGATACGCACAGAAGTACATTAGTACGATTTCTCGCCCCGGGTTGATTTCAACCCGGGGCGAAGTTTCAACCCGGGTCAAGCGCAATGCGTCATGTAAACGCGCCAGTCAATCTGTGTTCATGGCGGTTTGAAACTTGACCTGGGTTGAAACTTGACCCGGGTCGAACTCAACCTGGGTTGAAACGCCTCGTGTAAACACAGCCTTAAAAGAACACCTGCTTCTGCAGCCACGTGGTATATATACCGTGTACGTACATGCATAAGGACATGTACACGTACCATTATACCATGTACATACAGACGAAACGGAAAAGGAGCTAACGAGCGGGCTGCAACTTGACTAGGCCATACAGGGAATAGTTTAACCGGTATCGCATTGCAGTTTGCTGCGCAATTCTTCTGAGGTGCGACGCAACTTCAGAAACGTGTCGCAGAAAACTGCGATGCCCGTTGACTTTTCCCTGTACCCAATGATGCAAAGTGTGCATGCCAGGTGTGTCTCTTAGGGATGAATTAGATGCACAAAACTTCGAAAGTGCTGAGCTATGCATCCTGGCACCAGTCTAGGTTTGCAACTAAGGTGTTACAGTGTATTTGTGGTCTGAACTTGCACTCTGATCAGCTCTGCAGAATGACAATGTTGTCAAGTGTTGAAGAAAATTGCTACGCAACATTTTTGAACTGCTATTCAAGTTTGATTTTGAATAACAAAATTGCTATCCAAGAAAATAAAAGTAATTATTCCCTGCCCTATATAGGAGAAAGCGAACGTTGCGAGCACAAACGCTCCAAAAAAGGAAGGAGAAAGTGGCAGCGAAATCTGACAATCTTTTTTTGGTGTCGAACAAGTTTGCTGTGGACGTCTTCTTCATTCCTCCACTTTATCTCCGTTGCCACGATGGATCACTGGTCCTGCACGTGTAGAATCACAAGCGCATCTGCCACTTTATCTTCCTTCCGGTTGACAGTGCAGTCGTAGTTATCAACTCGACAAGAAGTGAAGGTGCAGCACTGATTATTATTATTATTATTATTATCAAGAGTACATAACCCCCCAAGAGTGTGCAACTCGACTATGGGTGCTGTCCCGACAGAATTTCAAGTTGACGTCATTTTGATGATGCAATGCGCACTGTACACGGATTATCAGACGAATCCGGAACCGGTGGTCATGGTGGTTGACCGAAGCCGATCTGATCCTGTCCAAATTATTGCAAAGAAAAACGTGTGATGCATTGACACCCGTACACATGTTGTCAATCACTGGTGCAAGGAGCATTGCGTCATAAATAATGACGTCAACTTGAAATTCTGTCGGGACAGCAGGGTATGTGGGAGTTGCACACTCTGGGGGGTTATGTACTCTTGTTATTATGAAATGACCCAAAGGCAATGTGCCTATCGAGGGGTTCATTTGATTGAAAGAACAGTACTACTACTAGATGGTGGCTTGGACAAACAAGGTTCAACAACTAAACACGTGCTTTGTACATCATACACGAACTCTACACAATGGAACTCGTAGATCTACAGTACGAGGACTCGTACCATGTACCAGCAAGTACAAGCCAGTTCACAAAACATGGTACACATAAGGAGTATTGGTATCCAATCCCCATTCATTTTTGCCAGCACCTTTTGAACCTTGACTGTGAACCTTGACTGTGATGAGTACGAATTTTGTCATCAGACGGATAAAGTTGTATGTAACACATATACTACGTGTGCAGGGCTGCAGGGGCTGCAGACTAGTGTCAGCCCAAATTTGCCGGCAATAGACCACTTGCCATTTGTACAGATCCACGAAATCCCGTAGAATCGCGTAGACCCGGAAGGGTGTTGAATGTGTGCTATGCATGCGCATTTGACGAATTTTCGCGTCATAATTCAATGACCAGCAATCGCTTTTCCAGCTTCTTCACTTTGGTTAGAACTAATGACTAGCTAGATCTTTGTCAGAAAAGGTTTTCGTATGAAATGCCTTCAGGCCCCATTTCTTATTGGAAATAGCAGAAAACACAATAGGGTCCTGCATATTCAACACCATTTCGGGTCTACAGGATTCTACGGGATTTCGTGGATCTGTACTAATGGCAAGTGGTCCATTCTTTTGGCATAATATCGAAAAATTTTAGAAAAAGAATTGCCCGGCATATTGGAGCATAATTTCGAATTTTTTGGAGATTTTCACCGTGATTTTGTCGATACTCGAAGTTTCATGTCCAGCGCCAGAGGTACATGCATGTACCGTAAAATCCCGCCAGAGCGCCCCTACCTCCTCGTCGCTTCAGGTGGGGAGGGGCGGATGGGCGAGTCCTACTTGCCACATTCAGTGCAACATGAAAAAGTACTCACCCTACGAAAACTGTCCGTGCATCTCGTACACCGACCAAAGGTCAAGAGCAAGGAGTCGTGCAGACCCGTCAAAACTCAGGGTTTGTGCGATCCCTAGATCCCTCGTCAAGAGGGTACCTAGGGTGGACACTGTTGCGTACATTTCCAACGGGGTCGAGCACGCGTCTGCAGTACAGTACAGCATCACAGACTGCGACAGAGTCATACGAGGATACATCCCTGACAAGAAGTCAGGGAGGGGCGGATAGCAGAGACGGGGCGCTCTGGCGGGATTTTACGGTATTACTACCGTATGTCCATGGTCACAACTAAATATATTTACGCCGCAACTTGGTGATGAGCATTGTGAGGTCAATCTTTTACTTTGAAATGTGAACCCAGCAAAACCGAGCAAAATAACGATGTTTTTCTCCCAAATTTGGTCAAAATCTGGCGTTTTTGAAGATGTCATTGAGCATAATCAGAGCAAAATATCGTCTGCGCCCGGCACTGCCATACCAAGCATACGAGGGAGGTTTAGTTCCCACGTAACGGAAACGCGTACGTGGGTGATCCACGTAAAGTGGATGAAGGGCACCCACGTTGCAATGTTGTGTTTAGTCACACGGAACAAACAAAAGCATAAAGCTAAAGGCCAAAACCTGGTCAAAGACTAAGCTATCCCGGCCTTAGAAGCTCATCTAATATTTTGATTTCGTGCTTCGGAAACTTCTTCAGCTGAGCACCCTCACAGCTCGCACAATGCGCTCCATTCTGATTTTCACCCACGTTCTGGCGGAACGTGGGTGAGCCTCCATACACGGTATGTCGTGAATCAGAAAACGTCTGTACGTGGGTCACTGAGTATCACGTGGTACACACACGTAAAGTACCCACGGATTACGTGGGACTAAACCTCCCTAATATCGAAAGAAGAGCAGCAAAATTATGCGGCATAATATCGAAAAGTCTCGAGCAAATTTGGGCTGACACTACTGCTGACTCGACTGCATGGTGCAGTCCAGGGAGTGGTCAAATAGTATTTTGACAACTCCCTGGTGCAGTCCCTTATGCCAAGTGTCGGATTTCACTTGCCACAAGGTTCACAGTCGAGGTCCAAAAGGTGCTGGCAAAAATGGGAGTGGATACCAATACTCCTTATGTGTACCATGTTTTGTGAACTGTGTGTATCTATGCTGTGACCTTTCGACCTGTTTGGGATGCATACGGCTCTATAGTACAAATTAGGTGCAGTACATTACATCACTGATGTCCATTTGTGGCGCTGCAGCTGTCCCCAATGGCAAGTGTCAGATTTCACTTGCCACAACTGTAGTTCCGAGCTCCGGCTCCGGTGCCAGTTCAAGAAAAAACTGGTACAGGTCGTCCCTCGTTAATACATAATCTCTGGGACTTGACAAATGTTATGTATTAACGGGGTTTATGTACAAAACGAAAGTGTACATAACTTGCTTGTGTACCAGAATTTTTCACTTTTTTCAACTTTTCTGAGTGTTTCTTGCTGCCATGACTACAGTCCATTCATAAAAAAATGGGTCCTGGCTCTGGCGAGCTCCCGTATTTGGCGATTTTTCGTGATTTCATCGTACACAGTGCAGTGCTGCGAACTTTGAAATTTGAAAAGGGTCCAAAAAGGGTGCCTGAACTGGGGTTCGAACCACAGAATGCACTGTTGCAGGCGGGGTCAAACGGCCTGGATTTTGATGGTTTTTCCCAATTCAGTGCTTTTGGGGCAAAACCTGGCCGAAATCCTATTCTTGCTATGGCTTGCTTTTTGGACAAAAAAACTTCAGAAACATAATTGGAAGAGGATTCCATATGGGATTGCAGAAAAAAATTCTAAAAAAACTCAACGTTTGACCCATTTATGGCCAAAAGCTAGAAGTTCATTTTTTTCTGAATGGACTGTAGGGAGCAAGATATTCTTGATTCCCTCAATATAACATAAAAATTATGTTATAACGGACACAGTCAGCGAAGATTCTACAGTTTAGTGACATGATACATGCCCAGCCGCGCCTGTACAGTCACTCGGAAAAAAGAGCTTTGTCGGTTTGTGATGTGCGCTCTGATTTCTGAGCTAATTGCGTCCACAAGTAGAAACTAGAACACGATGTGCCTCCACTGGAAGGCCAAAAGACCAACAAATGATGTACTATTGAGGTAGGTGGCATGCGGGTACGGAGAAATGTTATGTACTAACGGGGTTTATGTACTAACGAATTATGTACTAACCAACAAAATTTGCATGGAAGTGACCACGTTTCGTCCGGGACTTGAGATTTCTTATGTACTAACGGGGTTTATGTACTAACCGGACTCGTATTAACGGGGGACGACCTGTACTCACTGATTTCATAGGGAAATGGCTAAAACCTGGCCGAATATCTGACCTTCACAGTCCCATGCCCACACGTACACGGGCCTTCATCATTTCCCTCTACTCGCTCTAGGTCTATATTCATAGAATATTCTTTTTCAAAAACTGAATCCGGCACCCTGAGTACAGGGGAAAGCGCTCTAAGACAATCACATACCACACACAGTAAACAAAGAAGGACTTACCAAGATAATTAAGACTGCACTTGAAAGCAGACCGGAAAATCACAGACGCTCTCCGCTGAGCGAAAGAGTCATCCAACGAGAAAGACCAAGCCGTCCTAGAAAGGTGCTACCACTGGGGAAAAAACCTGAAAGCTTATAGCCCCAATATAATAATGAAGCAGCTTGATGAAACGCTCCCCAAGATAGTCTTCACACGTGCGTACGCGACAGTCGCGCGAAATGGGTACGGCATGGGGTCAAGTTTGAACTCATTATTTTGCGCGCTGTGATCGTGATCTCGCGCTTGATTCTACACAAGCGTAGCCAAACCAAATCGAAAAACATGTTTATTGTACTACTCCCTGACCAGATATCTGCAGAACATACCACCAGCGAAATACACTACCCCGGCACAGGATAGTGTACTCGTACTCTGTCCTCACCTAGTACCTCCATTCGAACCATGTACTAGTACCCGTAAAAGCTAGTATACTCTCGACTAGGGCCCGGTGTAATCATGGTAATATGCCCGAAACTGTCTCTCTCTCGACCAGGGAGTACATAGATCTACCGGTAGTGTACTACTCCCTACTACCCTAGCCTAGCCTAGCCCTGCATGCATGCTCTCGACCAGGGAATAGTACAATACGGTATTGTACTACTCCCTGCTTGTCATAGCCCAAATTTGCTAGCAATTCTTTGAGCAAAATATCGGGTGCGCAAGTTGCCGGCAGGTTTTGAGCAAAATATCGAGTTTTGGTGGGCTTTTGAGAAAATCCAAGGCTTCTCAGGGACTTTCTCAACACAATCAGTCACCAAAGTTGAAAACAAGCACAAAAGTTGGACAAAACAGACTCATGGCCACATTTTTTGTAGAAAGTTGAGCAGCAGCAGGAGCTCAATCAAAAATGCTTCGTCATCAGCGACAATTATCGTTGATTTTTCCTTGAAACTCATTTTATCTCGAGCAAAACCAAAGCAAAATATCGACGAAGAAAGGAAATGCCAAGCAGAATCTCGAAAAGTTTGTGGCAAAATTATGCGGCAAAATATCGATGTGGGCAGAGCAAATTTGGGCCATGACTACCTCCCTGCTCTCGACCACAAAATACCAAAAAATGGCTGCACGTGTCGAAAAGTCCCTCAAGCATGGCACTGGTACGCATCTCGCATATATGGCGCATATGGCCATATATGGCGTGCATGATGAAACGTATCCACGTGAACATGCACGTGTGTACTACATGTGTATAATGTGCTGTACTGCATGCGTCGCGAAAGATCCAGGGTTGGTTCACCCCAGGCAGTAGTATCGTACTACTCCCTGGTTCACATCATGAGGGAGCACCGGTACGCGGTAGTACAATACAATCATCATTGTGGGCAGATCAGAAGCAGGGAGTCGTAAACTACATACTAATTTTTACGACTCCCTGATCAGAAGTAACACAATGATACAACAAAAAACATGGGCCATACCAGGAAAGCAATGATGACGAGGCATAAACAAGAGAGTATAAATTAATTAATAGACCACCCTTTTCAGGTGATCTACGGATATTTCCCCTAGTTTGAGGGGATTAGTAAAGAATATCTCATGAGTACGAGGGTGATACCGTCGAATATCAATCCCGACTGCGAAGCAGAAGGGATTGATATGAGGGTACGGTATCACCCGAGCTACGAGGGTGATATTCTGTTATACGCATCCCATATTTGGATCCCGACCCCGGCATAAATCGTACACATTCCATTACCCCCTACCCCTGCATGCTGTAGTTCATACGCACTCCATTACCCCCTACCCCTACCCCTAGCCCTGCATGCAGTAATTCGTACACATTCCATTACCCCCTACCCCTTGCCCTGCATGCAGTAATTCGTACACATTCCATTACCCCCTACCCCTGCATGCAGTAATTCGTACACACTCCATTACCATGATTACCCCCTACCCCTAGCCGCGCGAGAAGGCACAACGCAGGGAGATCCTCTTGCTATGCCGATGTACGCTTTGGGGGTACTCCCCCTGGTGCGCAGAGTGGCAACCCCAGGAACACGCCAGAGCTGGTATGCGGATGACTCGTCCGCGGGTGGCGGGCTCAACCCTCTCCGCCAGTGGTGGGACCGACTCGTCGGGGATGGGCCGGTGTAAACGCGAAAACGGTTCCTCCGCGAAAATGGTTCCAGGCATACACCGGTTACCCCCTGGAACCGTTTTCGCTAGCGAGAACGGTTCCACCCTAGCCGCGAAAACAGTTCCTCCGCGAAAACGGTTCTTCCACACATTTCCTGCATCTAAGGCTGTCATCACACCATGGTACAAAGCGCTGCGTCTACGTCCACGTAAGGAGTTTTTGGTCGGTTGTCATGATGATCCGTATACGGGGTGAAAACGGGAGCAGAGGAAACGGGAGACGTGGACGTGGTATGGAGAGGGGGGGGTATACGACTTTTTGTATGAACGTGCGTATCTCCCCCAGCCTTTTTCCGAGCGACCCTGTACTTCGATGTACGTGGGTTCAAATTTCTCCACAAAACCTGACTGCGTGTACGCGTCAAGAACTGTGCCTGTCTGATGACACGACCACCCGTTTTGGTTTTTTCACCATAGACGTAGACGTAAACGGGAGTCGGAGAACGTGGTGTGATGACGGCCTATGGCCCTCTTGGAACCGTTTTCGCGGATGGGGTCTCACCGCGAAAACGGTTCCAGCTAGCCGCGAAAACGGTTCCTCCGCGAAAACGGTTCCACACATTTCCTGCATCTATGGACCGTTTTCGCGGATCGACATGCATCCGCGAAATCAGTTCCCAATCATGAGTTGTGCTTTCGGTTTTTTTTTCTTCAAAACGTCCTGAAGATGTCTTCTCTTGGTGGTAATCGGGTGTGTTACGACGAAGTCTTGCAAACGCCTGCCTCGTTTCCTGCGGACGCGAAGAGGCGTAGAGCAATAAAACGCTTTGCAGTCAACTTCGTCTTGGATCGTGGGGTCCTTTTTCGCCAAACAGATGAAGGCCTACCACAATGGATCACCGACGACGGCCAACAAAAGGAGATCTTGCATCCATGCCACTCGCATGATATGTCTGGTCACCTTGGCCGTGATAAGAGAGGAGGAAGGTCTGTGAGAGGTGAGTAACTAATATTACTTGGATTCATTTATTTTCAGTCTCAAATCAGTGAAAGTCGAGAGGATGGTAGTGTGTGGTGTAAGTAAGGGAGTTAGTGCACCACATTTAATTATTATTAGTATTACTTTCAACCGTGCCTATCAAGGCCCACACACAAAACTGACCACAACTGACAAGGCTTCTGTTGGCATATCAGTACAGTAATTGACCCGGATTAACTCACTTCATATACCGTAAAATCCCGCCAGAGCGCCCCTACCTCCTCGTCGCTTCAGGTGGGGAGAGGCGGATGGGCGAGTCCTCCTTGCCGCATTTAGTGCAACATGAAAAAGTACTCACCCCACGAAAACTGTTCGTGCATCTCGTACACCGACCAAAGGTCAAGAGCCAGGAGTCGTACAGACCCGTCAAAACGTCAGGGTTTGTGCGATCCCTGGTCAAGAGGGTACCTAGGGTGGGCACTGTTGCGTACATTTCCAACGGGGTCGAGCACGCGTCTGCAGTACAGTACGGCATCACAGACTGCGACAGAGTCATATGAGGATACATCCCTCCCTGACTTCTGAAGTCAGGGAGGGGCGGACAGGAGAGACGGGGCGCTCTGGCGGGATTTTACGGTACATGTAAGCACGCACCTAATTTTCCACCATACATGACTGTAGAGACTTTCAACCCGGGTTGAAAATTCTCATGTTAACACAGCCTAAAGCTGTGTTCACAACTGGCGCGTGGACGCGGTACGCTTGCGGTTCATGCGCGCCCATACGCGCGCTCAAGCTTTCACAAAAAACAGCAATCCGAGTCGTGCGACACCTTCGAGTACTAATTTTTGGACCCCGCCAGTCAAAGTGACTGGCATGTACGCTGGTACGCGCCTGATACGCGCTGAAAATTCCAACATGTTGGAATTTCCATTTCGGCGCGTATCCATACGCATGACGCCCCAAAAGCCAGCAAAAATACGCACAAACGCGTGGTTTCACGCGTACACGCGCCAGTTGTGAACACAGCTTAAGGCCCGGGTTCTGCTGCGGCTCTGCTGCTCCGCGGTACATGCAGCGGAGCAGCGCGGTTCCACTGACACTCGCCATTCGCGGTACCGCGGTCGTGCTCCACACTTTTTGATGATGTTTCATTTGCCTGCAAGTGCAGTGCTTGAACAAAGGAAAATTCAAAATTTAACATTTCCTGGCATTTTCAGGAGGTCACTATGGATACATTGACGGTAGCAAAGTTTGTCCAGCGCTGTGTGAACTGAATCACGGTTTGCCAGTGTTATCTTGCTGCAGAGTGTTGGAGTGTTTTGAGTCTGCCTTGTTCGTTCTGCCGTTATGTCACGCAAGTACAGTAGAGTCGCGCGCTGAAGAACGCGGAGCCCAAGAACGTCCAGCCTGAAATTCTAAGAACACCACAGCCTAAAGCTAAGAACGGCGATGTTGGTTTTCTGGCAGCTTGTGGAATACATAATTATGATCCAGTACGGATTGTTTCTAAGAACGTGCTATAAGAACGCAGCCAGATTGCAGAAAAAATAAGAACGTCCCAGGCTAACCCCTTGGAAACAACGTTCTTGGGCGCGCGACTCTACTGTACTGTTCTCTATCTGACCTTTTTTTGCAAATTATCTGTGTGTGCCCAATGCGTTCCACTTGTTGTGTAGCTTTCGACTTCGTAGTTTTCGGCTGTAGTTTATTAGTAGAATAGTGGTGCATACATGTATTTGCTCGTATTACAGTCATGTACAATCATGTATGTCCGTGGCTTTTAACACTCAGTAAGTCTACGTCAACTATCTGTACAATGTCATGACTGTATACATGTATCATTATTACAGTACAGTATACTCACTCAGCGTTATTTGCAATAATAATAATTTGTAAGAAAGGGTTTGCTCCCCACACTGGAGCTCGCGCTATTCCGCTGACTTTACTTGACACTTGACTGACTCACGACTGCCATCCAGAGCACACGAGTTCATCCGTTCTCACCGTCCAGGAGCGACACTGACTCACGCT